TCCCTCCCTGGGGCCTCCACCCCAACCCTGCATTCCAGTTGTTCTGCACACAGGTCTGATCAGGATTCTGCTGCTCCTGCAGGCCTTACCCTGACTTCGCCCCATTCCGTGGCCGACCAGGCCTTGAACACGGCTGCAGTGTTAGAACTGCGCCCACTGTGAGGAGGGGCTGAGCCCTCACCTCCTCCACGTCCCCTTCAGCTTCCTCCTCGTGGTGTCGGGTGCCACGCACAGAGTACCTAGCATGGGGACTGTGAATAGTGGCTCTTGTTCCATGTGTCCTGCCTGCCCTGTCCCTGGTCCTGCAGGTGGCTGGGCCTGGACCCTTACTATGGTCCCCAGCTCCCCAACCCGTGCCCTGTCCCGGAGCTGTTGTCCCCTAGTCCTGTAAATATATGGCCTTGGACAGGCACACAGTGTCACCCCTGTAGTCTTAGCACTTGGGAGGCTGAAGCAGGATTGCTTAAGGCCAAGAGTTCGAGACCAGCCTGGGCAACATAGTAAGACCCCTACCTCTTTAAAAAAAAAAAAAAAAAGATGAGGCTTTCTCACAGGTATTCGCTGTGGTTAACAGCTGTGCCCACCTGCCATTTCACCCTGTGTCTGGCACTGGGTGAGGCCCCTGTGGTCTGTGTGCTCACAGAGTCCGCTGAGGAAGACTGCAGGGAGGGATACGGAGGTGGCTCTGTGGCACAGCGTGGGCACCCCCACAGCACCACCAACGCCAATGGGCAGGTGGACACCAGCCAGAGACGCGCTCCCCAGCCGAGGGAGGACAGGTGACCTCTGCTGTGAACCTAGAAATTACCGAGCGCCCCAGCATGACTGCCAGTGAGACCTGAGGACCCTGGGGCTGACCCCTCCGCAGGCAAATGTGGCGCATCCCTGCAGGCTGGGCCACAGCAGCCCTCCCCTGCCCTCCCCCATGCTGGCCTTCTCCTTTAAAAGAGAAAAAAAACACAACCCTGTTAATTCATCAGAGCAGATTGTCTGCTGGGGCACCCAGCCTGAGACGGGCGTTTGTGTTCCATGCCGTGTGGATCAGGTTTCGCGGCTGAGATGTTTAAATCAGCAGCCAGCTCCACTCGGCAGGATTCGGAATTTTCCTCCTGCTCCTGCCAAGTGGCCACCACAGCTGAGCCTGCTGGGCGCAGGGCAGCAGTCCACACCCCTCTGGGTAAAACCTGGGATTCTCCTGCCTGCGGCAGCCCTGCCCTGGCTCTCGGTCCACAGCATCTTCACAGTTCATTTCTGCGTTTTTCCACCATGTATTCTCTGTTCTTCTGTATGTCACATCCCTTGCTCCTCTCCAAAGAGAGCCAAAGGTCTAAACTCTAATGAATGCCAGACTTCAGAGGAATAGCCCCCTTCTCCCAGGGGCACAGGAGTCCCATGCTCTGGGGCAAAACCCCTTCTTCGTGTCCAGCTCTGTCATTTCCCAGGCGCCTGGCTCACAGGTGACAAGTCAGGGTCAGGCAGAAAATGCATGAGGCGTGCAGGTGGTGGGTGCAGGTGGGATGCGTGAGCATGGAGTGGGCAGGTCTCCACTGGGCGCCTCTGGGCAAAGATCTGAAAGACTACGAGCCAGTCTGGCCAAGCCCTGGGGAAGTGTCTGGCAGGCAACAGTGGGTTCCTTCCCAGAAGCCACTGCCAGGCTTGACTGAGCCGGGGCCTCTCCCATGGTGACTTCTCACCTGGCAGGGTTGGCCAAACCTCACTTCCCCCTGCCCCAGCTGGGGACATGTCACAGCCTCTGTGGGAGGCCAGCATCTGAAGCAGGGGCAGAGTCTTCCCTCTTGGGCCTGGCCTATATTTGTTCCAGGACTGGTGAGAGGAGGCGCTGGTGTCGCTCTGAGGATGGCAGCCCTTATGGGGCCTGCGGCTCGTCACTTGGGGTTTGCAGCTGGTACTCTGACCCCGTCCAGGTGGGGCCCTTGGGGGAGTGGGGAGGGGTCCCCCACCCATCCTGCCACCCTGATACAGGCTCAGTCAGTGGAGGGTGGTCTTTGCAGTCTCCCTCGGCAGAGCTGGACTGCTGGGACTATGGCCTCGGTCTTCCCTCCCTACCGGCAGGGTCTCTGATTCGGGGCATCGGTGCTGGGTGCCCCACAACAGGCAGCTCTTGCCTGGTAGATGGCACCAGGGTTAGGAACGCCCACTCCAGACAGCAAGCCCAGAGGCGCTCTCTGCTGAGCCTCCCTGTGGCGCCCAGCTCTGCCACAGACTCTCAGTCCCCTCCGTGCTCAGCAGTGCTGGTGCTGAGGCCGCAGTGAGTAGGGCTCTGACGGGCAGGAGCCCACGCTTGGTTTCCGCACTTTGGGGCTGGCGCTGCACTTGGCCTGGCTGCCTTGCTTTTCCCATGTTTCCCTTGTGGCCATTCATCCCTGTGTCCATCTGTGCCGGTTTCTAGTTTGTGAGCCTTGGAGAGAAGGGACCTTACAGGGTCGTGTCCCCTGCCCAGTGCCTGGCCCGTGGGGGACTATCAGTCACCACAAGGGACTTAGCTGGAGCTGAGCAGAGGGACCTGGGTAGTTAGGACACAGCCTCCTGGGTGTCAGGGGTGCGAGGAGTCAGGTGGTTGTGGGGGTTCAAGAAGTCGTTCTGGGGCTCAGGAAGGCAGGGTCCTGGATTCCCAGGTGAGATGGGCAGGCGGGGCCGGGGCCAGAGCTAGAGGCCACCAGATGGGTCTTTGGTGCCATGGCGGGTCCCCAGCCCCTCCCCTCAGAGACAGGATGTGGTCCCCGCCGGCAGGGCCTCTCCTCCTGCCCTACGTGAGGCAGGGGGCTGGGGAAGGGCCCTAACGGAGCCGCTCCCGCCAGCCTGCACACCAGGTCCTGCCTGGGCAGGTCATGGGGCCGGGGTGGCCTCAGCCCAGAAGATGCGGTTTCGCGGCCCGCTGGCTTCAGTTCTCCTCCCGGCTTCCCAGAAGAGTCCAGTCTCACATCAGCCACTCATTTCCCTCTCCGGCAGCCGCTGGCTCTGAGCACGCCCTCTCTCGCCACAATCACAAGAAGTGAAACTGTCCCAGGAAATAGAGTGGAACGCCCCAGAAACACCTAGGGAGGGCGGGCTCCTTCCTCCTCCTGCCTTCAGCAGAAATGGAGGGCAGCCCCACTCTCCTGCCCTGCAAGGGCCATTTCCTGCCTTTCACCTGTGCCAGAGTCTAGCCCTCCCGCGGTGGGTGTGACGAGGGGGTTTTTAAGAAGCTTCCAAGGTGTTGTGTGGCTGAGTTGAGAACCACCAACTCACAGGCAGGAAAGGGACGGGTCAGAGGCGTGGGGCCTGGAGGTCGTGTGTTCACTGAATGCCCGGCGCACATGAAGGCAGGTGGACAGAAAGGGTCCCGATGCGTGGGTGAGGATAGTCCCGTGGTGTGGGGGCTTCCAGAGCCAAGCCTTGGAGGAGGGCCGGGAATTCCTTGGGAAAGGGGCGGCTGTCTTTTTGGGCAGGATGCCAGGACACAAGACCAGCAGTGTACTCTGGGCAGGCTACCTTTTGCAGAGCTTGGGGTTGGGGGCATTTGCACTCATGGTGCCCTGGGCTGTGACCTCCAGGCATGGGCTGGAGGGTACAGCAGGTGCCTGGCATGGGCAGAGCCCCAGGCTCAAGCTTCTCCCGCCCCCGTACTTCCTACTCTTGGGTCCTGAACTCCTGACTGCCCTGCTGGACACCCCCCAGCCCCACACAGCCAACGCAATGTGGCACCGCAGGGACACTCATGACATCGCTTGGCGACATCTTGTGACAGCTCAGGGCAGGCAAGCACCAACCGGACCTGGAGAGCACCGTGGTTGCCTGGTCCAGGGGCACAGGCCATGGCCCGTGTCAATAGTCACCAGCCCACGGCACACAACACCTCCCTCTCCTGCCCAGGCCGTGTGTGCACATCTTCACACAAGTGATCAGACCCGGGACGTTAAAGTTGCCGATGACTTCAGAGATGGCACACCCTGTGACACTTGGCCCCCAGAGGGCAGGGCCAAGCGTGTGACCTCAGGCAGCCTCCCTCTGGGAGCCTCCATTTCTGGCAGGGCCCGGCAGCCACTCGGCTCTTCATGAAGTGCTGTGTGCTGGGAAGGTCCTCACACTATCCCTCTCGCTCTGTTCGCATTCCTTGGCGCCAGGCACACATGGGGTGCCCGGGGTGAAGAAAGCAGCGCCTGTGCACCGACAGCGGTGCTGGGGTTCAGGGGCTCCTGCTATGTTCCATGGGACATTTCAGGGCTGTTCTTCGCATCCCAGGCGCTGTCAGAGGGAGTGGTTTGGGAGTTCAGTGCCTGCTTCTGCCTTCTCACTACACGAGGAAAGAGATTCTGTAAGTGCCTGTCATTGTCATCGCTTTCACTGTAGCTGAGAGCCATGAGGACTGAGGTGTGCCAGGCCTGTATCGACTGCCTTGTGAAACTCAGTGTCCACATGGGGCAGGGGCCAGGCTGTCCCATCCTGAGACACGGGCACCAGAGCACAGGAGAGTGGTAGCCTCCCTGCCCAGCCGCCTGCACCTCTGCTCCTGTCAGCTCCTGCTGCCTCTCCCCACCGAGCTGGCAGGATTTTTTTTTTTTAAGTAGACCCCAAATACTCAAGGATGGGGGCAAATCCCCACATTGCTCTCTGTGGAGATGTTTGTGTCGGCGCTTCTGGAAGCAGTGTCTTCTGAGCCATGTGTTCCCAGGCTGAGGTTCTGGACTCCACCGTGGCCGAGATGGGGCCTACTGTGGCGGGGTCCCCAGTGGGCATGTGAGTGGCAGTCAGGACACACACAGGCGGGCAGGCTACCCCCACCCTCACCCTCCCTGTCCTGCAGGCCCGTCCTGCTCCACAGGCAGTGTGTGGCCCTGGGGTGCCCACGGCAGTGCCCGAGGTATGTGTCCTGATCACTTGGCCTACTGCCTCTGGCTGTGGATGCCATGTGGCTGGAAGGCCACCCAGGGCCTCCTGTGCTCTTCTTTCTCCTCCCCCTGGGCTCACAGCGTTTCACCTCTTCTGCCCTCTAGCTGGTCAGTGAGAAGGTCGGAGGGGCCGAGGGGACCAAGCTGGACGATGACTTCAAAGAGATGGAGAAGGTGAGGAAGAAACTGCATGCTCTGTGTGGTGGCGGCGCGGCCGGGGCCTGACCTCTGCAGGGCATAGTGGAGGCGGCCAACCCTGATGGGCCTGGGTCTGGACTCATGGGGCCCTGCAGGCGTGGAGAGCTGGGGTGGTGTGGGGGCATCATCCGCTGGACTTGACAGGCACCAGCTCTCTCCCCTGCCCTGGGCAGGCAGCTGTGGGGACATGGCTGAGCTGAAGACATGGAGAGGGGGTTGGGGGGTCCTGGTATGGGCTCCTACGGCAGGAGGTGGTGCAGCAGTGGGGGCCTTGTGTGCCTTGGGCCCCCAGTGGCTGTGGAGTCTTTTTTTTTTTTTTTTTTTTTGAGACGGAGTCTTGCTCTGTCGCCCAGGCTGGGGTGCAGTGGCCGGATCTCAACTCACTGCAAGCTCCACCTCCCGGGTTTACGCCATTCTCCTGCCTCAGCCTCCCGAGTAGCTGGGACTACAGGCACCTGCCACCTCGCCTGGCTAGTTTTTTGTATTTTTTAGTAGAGACGGGGTTTCACCGTGTTAGCCAGGATGGTCTCGATCTCCTGACCTCATGATCCACCCGTCTCGGCCTCCCAAAGTGCTGGGATTACAGGCTTGAGCCACCGCACCCGGCCTGGCTGTGGAATCTTATATGCTGCTTCTCTCCACAGAAGGTGGATGTCACCAGCAAGGCGGTGACAGAAGTGCTGGCCAGGACCATCGAGTACCTGCAGCCCAACCCAGGTGGGTGCTCTAGCCACTGCCAGGGCCTGCCCCAGGCCCTCTGGCCTCTGTCAGTCAGAGGGAACGTAGGGGATGACAGAACCACCAGGCTCATGGGTGGCAGGCTTCAGGCACAGCTGGATTCAGGGGTGCAGAGACCATCCTTGGCGCCACATGCTGCCTTTCCACCTCAGCTAGCAGCTCAGTCCCCCTGTTGGCTTCACTCTCATGCCGACTGGTTCCTCGAGGCTGTCCCAGCCTTAAACCCCTCTTCCAGCCAGCAGTCCTGGCAGGGAGCCTCTCCCCCAACTCACTTGTGGGACCTATTTGTATTGGCCGCCCCCTCACCCAGTGCCCCTGGGATGGGTCTCCCTGGCCGAGAGACGGACCTTTCCCCAAGGAAAACCCAAACACTGGCTCCATAGGAGGCCAAAGACAGTGGGTAGATGCACACCCAGCAGCGTCCACTCAGGCCCTGCCAGGAGCAGGCAGCAGAAGGGCCACGGCTCCTCACCTACCCCGGGAGCCTTGGCCTCACCACCTCCTACTGCATATCACTGCTGTGCCTCCTCCCTGGGACCCCCCAGATGAGAGGTATAGCCACATTCCAAGAGGAGCAGCCCTTGGAAGGAGGATGTGTTGCCCCCTGAGGAGCTTGGTCACCTCTCCACCCGCTGCCAGTTCCTTCGAGGCTAGCGGGGGAGCAGGGAAGGGACCCTCTGGGGATTCCACTGTGCTTTGTGTGGCCTGGACTGTCCACAGGCACGGGAGGCAAAGGTGTGGCAGGGGATGTGGGGGCTGCAGCCTGCCAGGGCGGAGGAGTGCAGGCCTCGCAGCCCACACCTACCTGGCCATCCTATCCCAGCCTCGCGGGCTAAGCTGACCATGCTCAACACGGTGTCCAAGATCCGGGGCCAGGTGAAGAACCCCGGCTACCCACAGTCGGAGGGGCTCCTGGGCGAGTGCATGATCCGCCACGGGAAGGAGCTGGGCGGCGAGTCCAACTTTGGTGAGTGGTGCTCTCTGGAAGCCACGCCCACCCTCCCTGGAGGCCACGCCTCAACACAGGCAGGGCAGGTGCAGGTCCAGGTCCAGCCGATGGGGCCCCTTCCTGTAGCTCCAGACCTTCCCCAGCTCAAGCCAGCTGGTTCCCCAGAGTCTGGATGCACCCCCGCCAGCATCTATCCTTCCACCACCTTCAGCCTGTTAAGGGCAAACCTAGGCCCTTTTAGGAGCGTGGGGAGGGGGCTGGTTTAACATCCAGTATTGATTGGGATTTTAGGATCCTTTGTTTTGTTCTGAGTTCCAATTTCCAGGCCCTTGGCCTGGAGTGTGGGGGCTGTTAGAAGTTGGGATGGGGCTGAGTGCAGTGACTCACGCCTGTAATCCCAACACTCTGGGAGGCCGAGGCAGGTGGATCACCTGAGGTTGGAAATTCAAGACCAGCCTGACCAATATAGAGAAACCCCACCCTGCCTCTACTAAAAAAACATATATATATATATATATAAAAAAGATATAATTAGTTGGGTGTGGTAGCGCATGCCTGTAACTCCAGCTACTCAGGAGGCTGAGGCAGGAGAATCACTTGAACCCAGGAGGTGGAGGTTGCAGTAGCCCAGATTGTACCATTGCACTCCAGCCTGGGCGATAAGAGCTAAACTCCATCTAAAAGAAAAAAAAAGGCTGGGCGTGGTGGCTCACACCTGTAATCCCAGAACTTTGGGAGGCCGAGGCGAGTGGATCACGAGGTCAGGAGTTGGAGGCCAGCCTGGTCAATATGGTGAAACCTCGTCTCTACTAAAAATACAAAAATTAGCTGGGTGTGGTGGCGCACACCTGTAATCCCACCTACTCAGGAGGCTGAGACAGGAGAATCACTTGAACCTGGGAGGCAGAGGTTTTAGTGAGCAGAGATCGCGCCACTGCACCCCAGCCTGGGCGACAGCGAAACTTCGTCTCAAAAAAAGACGTTGGAAAGGATCCGGGTGTGGTGGTGCACGCCTGTGGCCCCAGCTACTTGGGAGGCTGAGGTGCCAGCATGGCTTGAGCCCAGTTCGAGGCTGCAGTGAGCTGGGACAGCACCACTGTGTTCCAGCCTGCGAAACCCTGTTTCAAAAACAAAGGCTGAGGAGTGTCTTGGTCCAGTGGTCTTAGGCCCGGCTTCTCCACAGGCGACGCATTGCTGGATGCCGGCGAATCCATGAAGCGCCTGGCAGAGGTGAAGGACTCCCTGGACATAGAGGTCAAGCAGAACTTCATTGACCCCCTCCAGAACCTGTGTGAGAAAGACCTGAAGGAGATCCAGGTGCTGCTGCTGCACCAGCCCGGGGCCTATCCCTTCCCCCTGCTGGATGGGGCAGCCCCATTCCTGCCACCCTTGGCACTGCCCTCTGGGTCTCACTCGGGCAGGTGGGATCCCCAGTGGTGCAGGGACAGTGGGTCAGGGCCATGCATGGGGCAGGTCTCTGGCTGCTGCTGGCCTGACCCATGTGCCCCACTATCTCCAGCACCACCTGAAGAAGCTGGAGGGCCGCCGCCTGGACTTTGACTACAAGAAGAAGCGGCAGGGCAAGATCCCTGATGAGGAGCTACGCCAGGCACTGGAGAAGTTCGAGGAGTCCAAGGAGGTGGCAGAAACCAGCATGCACAACCTCCTGGAGACCGACGTGAGTAGCTGGGGCTGCCACGTCCTGACAAGCCCCATGCCCTTGGGAGGCCGGAGGCGGCAGTGACCTGGCCTCTGCAGCAGGGGAGGTTGAGGGTACAGGCCCCAGTCCCCTGTCCCCTTTCGGCCCCCTTGCCTCCTGTGGCTTCACCTCGTGAGTCAGGGAAGGCACAAGACAGTGGTGCTGGCAGGAGCCCCTGAGCCGTTGTCCCCACAGATCGAGCAGGTGAGTCAGCTCTCGGCCCTGGTGGACGCACAGCTGGACTACCACCGGCAGGCCGTGCAGATCCTGGATGAGCTGGCCGAGAAGCTCAAGCGCAGGTGAGCCTGGGCTGCCATGGGCCTCTGCCAGCGCGTGTGGGCAGCACACCTCACTCTGGGGTGAGCGCATGGCCTGGCAGAGCAGCATCCTGGATTCTTCCTGGGGACCGAGTGGAATGGCCTGGGGGGCCACAAGGTTGGAGGAGGAGGAGCCGGGGCTGTGAGAACTCTGAGTCAACACGCAGCCCTGCCCCAGATGCAGGCCCTGGCGACTCCTAACCACGTGCCTGTTCCTTCCCTGGCTGCACTTTCTGCTGCCACAGGAACACCCAGGCTCCCTTCCCTGAACACAGAGGCCAGACCTGCTTTGGGGGCCTAGGCATGTGTCGGGCACCAGCTGTGGTAGGGAATGGGGGGTGGAGGTGGGGGATGCGACTGGGGGCGTTGTAGGTAGAGGCCGTGGCAGGACCCAGCTGCTTGGCAGTCTCTGAGATGGCTCCAAGGTGGGGGTCCAGGCTGGAGGCCCTCTGGGTAGACATCCCAGTCTAGCTGTGTCCCAGGGTCCATGTGTCACGACCCCACTGACAGCCTCTTCCTGCAGTCCCAGGCTAGGTTACTAGGCAGCAGCATAAATACAAGGGTGGGGCTGCCTCAGCCGTGACACTCACGGGCTTAGGCCACTCACACCTCTCCCTTCACAGGATGCGGGAAGCTTCGTCACGCCCCAGGCGGGAGTATAAGCCCAAGCCCCGGGAGCCCTTTGACCTCGGAGAGCCTGAGCAGTCCAACGGGGGCTTCCCCTGCACCACAGCCCCCAAGATCGCAGGTAACCGGACATGGAGCCATCTTCTGGAGGCACATGTCAGCGGGTGGGAGTGGCCGAGGGCTGGCCTCGTCCTGGCTCTCTTGAGTGCCAGACCCCAGACCCCTGGCTGCAGCTCTCAGCCCTACTCCATCTGGACCACCAAGGCAGATGGGAAGGGCTGATCCCAGTCCTCCGCAGAAGGGGCCCTGCCCGATGGTCTTAAGCCCACAACCTCCTCGTTTTGCTTGTTTTAGCTTCGTCGTCTTTCCGATCTTCTGACAAGCCTATCCGAACCCCTAGCCGGAGCATGCGTGAGTGTTCCCAGGCCTGCCTTGACCTCAGTGCTGCCTTCTCGGCCATTCGGGGAGGGTGTTTCTCCTCCTCCTCTGTCCATCTCAAGCAGGGAGGAGCCAGGCTCGGACAGCAGCGGGGGGCACAGGCCCCACAGCCTGCGAGACGCCACCCCTCTGGGTCTCAGCCTCATTGTGTGAATGAGGGATTGCCAAAGGCACTAGCCCAGTTCTAGGCTATGTGGTGGCTGCAAGGGCTGAGGGCATCTGGTCATTTCTTGTCACCACTGCAGCACTGGGTGTCCCCAGCACCTCCCAGGAGTAGCTTTGGTGACCACTTACCAAGCTTCTCCCATCCTCCCTCCTGGGTGGCAGTAGAGGCCAGACCCCAGAAGAAATGGCAGGGGCAGGGGGTGGCCCAGGCAGTGCGGAGGGAGGCCTCTGCCCACCCACAGGCTCCAGGTCACAGCAGCTCTGAGACCCCAGACTGGGAGGGGTGAGGTGTAGCAGCCCCAGCCCTAGGCACCATCCCCACAGCCTGCTTCCTCCCCCAGTGCCCCTGGACCAGCCAAGCTGCAAGGCGCTATACGACTTCGAGCCGGAGAATGACGGGGAGCTGGGCTTCCGTGAGGGCGACGTCATCACACTGACCAACCAGATTGACGAGAACTGGTACGAGGGCATGCTGGACGGCCAGTCGGGCTTCTTTCCACTCAGCTATGTGGAGGTGCTTGTGCCCTTGCCGCAGTGACTCGCCGGCGCCCCCGCCCCACCCCTCCGTCCACACTGGCTGGCACCCTTTGCTGGGTCTCCTGCATTCCACGGAGCCCCTGCTGCCAGGGCAGTGTCTGAGCCTGCTGGCGCCACTTGGGCCCCGGCCCTCGAGGTACTCCCTTAGCAGGGCCCCACACTTGGGTGAGGGGGTTTGTCTGGGTGGGTGGGGATGCCTGTTTACACTAGCGCTGACCCCCAACCGTGACGGCTCCCTTCCCCACTCCATGGCGCCGGCCTCCTCCCCGCTTCCCAACTCCTCGCCCAGCTGGCCCAGGCGGGGCAACACTAAGGTGCTCTCAGAAACACTAATGTTCCTCCAGGGCAGCCCCCACCTCCATCCTGACCCCACGGGGGCCCGGCCCACTGCCTACCCTCGAGTCCCACAGCCTTAACAGGATGGGATCGAGCATCCCCGTGGGGTGGCTCAGAGACAGGACCCTGGTTTTAAATCCCCTCCCAGCCTGGTGCTGGCGATGGGCCCTGGCCCACTGCACTTCCGCCTCATACATGCACTCCTTCTCCCCAAGGCCAGGGCAGAGGGCCTCACCGCCTCCCCGGCCTGCTGTCAGCTTACAGCCTGGGGACAGAGGCCAGCTGGGATCTGCCAGAGGACAGAGAACATGGTCTCCTGCAGGGCCCTGCCTCCCAAGCCCCACCCTTACAAAGCCAAGTACCTTTTCAGCTTTTTAACTGCCCCCAGCCAGGCCCATGGAGGCCTGTGTCACTCTGGCACGAGCTGCCATCACCAGCCACCCACACACCCCCCCGGCACACCTCGCACGGGACCACAGCCCCAGCCGCAGCTGCGCTACCAAGGGCCAAGCACAAAGGCTCCAGTGAGCGAGTTCCAGTCCCTGGTGGCCAGGCCTCCCCTTGCCAAGCCACTGCCACCCCATCCTGTGGGAAGTGGCCCCGGCCATCTCCTCTAGACCAACACAGGCAGCCCCAGGGTCCCCAGACCCCTGCCCAGATCAGCAGGTCTGTAGCCCCAACATCTGCTTCCTGTTGCCCAATCCAAAATCGATGAAATGGGGGCTCCTCTGAGCTGGGCCACATTCACATTCCCCTCCCCCTGTGGCCCAGTGAAGCCTCTGGACCCCAGGCTCTGCCCTGCACCCCCTCGTCAGAAGTACATGAGGGGCACAGACACCTGGCAGAGGTGAGCACACAGCCTTGGGCATGGTCCAGGGCAAACTGAAATGTACACCTGAATTTTGTAAACAGAAGTATTAAATGTCTCTTTCTACAGCCCCTTGCCTCATCTTGGTGCAGGGGTGGGCATGCCACCCACCGCCTTCCCGAGGGGCAGGCTCCCCATGGCCACACACACCCCAGGAGGTCCCCCTGGCACCCCAGGTGCTCAAGGCAGGTGGGATAGGGCTTGAGGCTTTTGTGCCAGTTCCCAGGTGCAGGGGCTGAGGGGTGCCCTGGAGTTTAATGCCCTGCCCTGTAAGTGAGGAAGCAGGGGTGATGGTACCAGCCTGGGCACCCAGCCACCCTCACCCCAGCCTTGGGGAGACCAGCGTGGCTGGCTGCTGCTTCCATTTCTTTATTACCTGAGCCCATCCGGACCCTCCAGACAACTGGAGCCCACCCTGCCCTGGGAGGCTCAGCTCCCCTGCTTAAGGATGCCGCACACCTGCTCCAGAACGTGGCACAAGCTCTGGTCCTTGGGCGTCCTGCTGGCCAAGGAGATCTGAAACAAGGGGGCTGGGCCTCAGGCTGCACCCAGGGGTCCTAGCCAGCCCTGTACCTCACAGTCTACTGTCCAAGTCCAGCATCCTGAGTGAGCCCCCCTGAGACCAAGGCATAGGGCTGGGGTCCCGCAGCACAGCCTGCTGCTTACCCAGTGGGGCGGTATGTAACCGGAGGGCCTGGCTCCCGGGGGCAGTGGTGCTGTGTGGAGGGGTGGAGCTTTCTTGCACGCTCCCGATCCTGCCCCCACCTCAGCCCCTCCCTGCCTGGGTCCCAGACACCCATGGGGATACCACAGCCTCCAGAGCTAGCCGAGAGCTGAGCAGAATGAGCCCCTTTCTATGCCAGGTGGAGGGAGACCAGGAACTACTACCCTGAGACACTCAGGGGTGGCCAGGACCCTGGGCCCTCTGCAGGGGAAACACTCCCAAACCTGCTGCTGGGACCTCATCCAGCACTGCAGGAGCTTAAAGCTCCACAGTCCAATCAAACCTGGCCTGCACCCTGCTGGGGTGGCTGCGGGGTGACCAGGGTCAGGAGCACTCTGCCAGCTGGGCTGTCCTGGGCCGCTGAGGCCCACAGGGCTCACTGCTGCCACCTTTCAGGCTGCCCGGGGGCCCCTCCTGGAGCTTCGTTAGGAGGTCTGCAGGGACTTGGGGCTCACCTTAAGCTTGTCGAGGTAGGTGTGCTCCTGGCTCCAGGGTTCCTGGAGCCTCACGAGGTCAGGGGCACCCTTGTAGAACTCCACCAGCAGCATCTACAGGACAGGGGAGCATGGACTCCCAGACTCCCTCCCAGCCAGAGGTGCACCAGCCCCTCTCCTGGGGCTCCAGTCTCAGGCAGCCCCGAGACATGACCCCAGTCACTAAGAAAGCAACCACAGAGATCGGGGAGGCAGCAGCGTTGCCCAGGTGGCTGCCACGAGAGGTCCACCTGGACCTGCACCCACTGAGCCCAGCTCTCCAGAACCACGCAGGCCTGAAATGGCCCCCTGGTTCGGCCTCATCCCCAGCAGCAACACCTGTGAGGTCACAGGTTTGATGAACTAGTTTGGGTTTTGTTGGGTTTTTTCCTTGAGATGGAGTCTCACTCTGTGGCCCAGACGGGTACAGTGGTGCGATCTCGGCTCACTGCAACCTCCACCTCCCGGGGTCAAGAGATTCTCCTGCCTCAGCTTCCCAGGTAGCTGGGACTATAGGCACCCGCCACCACTCCTGGGCTAGCTTTTCTATCTTGGTAGAGACAGGGTTTCGCCATGTTGGCTAGACTAGTCTCTCCACCTCAGCCTCCCAAAGTGCTGGGATTACAGCCGTGAGCCACTATGTCTGGCTTAGTTTAGTGTTTTTAAATGCACGTTGAACACATAATTGTTAAGTGTTCATCCAGGTACCACCCAAAGTCCCTGGGGTTTCTCCACTGGACAGCCTGGCAGAAGAGGCCAGCGCCTTGGAGAATAGCAGGTGGGGAGGTGAGGGAGAGCAGAAGTTGGGGCCCTGGCAAGGGCCTGGGACTCTGTCCTGAGTGATGGAAGAAGCCCTGACCCAGGCCCCCAAGGTGCCACCAGCCATAGCTTCCCAAGCCCACCAGTGGGAAGCAGACCAGCCCATCTTGTGTGCCCAGCTGCGCACTGCCAGCCCCCGCCTGCCCACCCCGCAGCGAGCTCACCATCTCGTGAAGGATGTCATTGGTCAGGAAGCTGTCCTGGACGTAGGCCATCTCCACGTCCATGGGGATGCCATAGTCACTGGGCCTTTGCTGGCAGGGACACAGACCAGTCAGAGAAGCCTCACTAGCCCCCAGCCCATAGCAGCTGGGGACAACGGGTGCCTGGGCTGGGAATGGGAGAGTGCACACCTCGGCCCAGCTCTGCACCGGGATCGGCACCTGGCGGTGGGACTAGGGAGGCGGGGTAGCATCCTCCCTCCGGGAGAGGCCCCGAAGAGAGCCAGGGCCCTGAAATGACTTCCCAGGGCTGACCTCTGACTTCAGGGCAGGCTTGGGGAGTGAAGCCAGGCTGGGTCAGGAAGGGAGCCCTCTTTGTGCCAAGCAGCCAGCTACCCATGGAGGTCCCCCGCCCAAGCCCTCACCAAAGCCTCGGCAGGGCAGCAGTCATGTCCCCATTTCAGAGACAGAGAAACTGGGGCCCCAACTCTCCAGTGGAGCCCAGAACCAGGGGCCCCTGCCTAGTTGTGACCCAAATGCCCCAGTGTCCCTGGGCCCCCCAGGCTCTCCCAGCAGCCCCCACCTACCTCAGGAGGAGGCATCACCCAGAAAGGTGAGATCTTGGACTCGGGGCCTGGGTTGCCAGAGTAGTAAGGGGCTGGCAGAGAAGAGGGAGAGAGGGGCTGGGCCTGGGAGGCTCGGCTGGCCCAGCATCCCCCCTCCTTGCTTCCCCCACCGCCCCATCTGGCATACAGCAGAGCAGGGCGAGGCAGGGCTGGAAGCCGTTGCTGGAGCCCTGCAGCCGCAGCTGGTAGTCCATCTGTGCATCGATGTCTTGCAGAGACGGCAGCGCCGGGCTGTGCGGGTGGCTGTGGTACCAGCCCACCAGGGACAGGCCCCGCAGGAACAGGCTCTGGTAGACCTGGGGACAGAGGCGCAGCTCAGGGGGCACAGGGACCTGAATGGCTCTAGTGAGCTCATGCGGCCGGCCAGCCCTGAATAAAGTCCTGCTGTGTATCAGGCCTGGGGACACAGTGATGACCAAGACAGGCCCTGCCCCCACCACCACTGAGTCCAGTGGGAGCTGGAGAGACAGCCAACAAGTACATCTGTTAATATAAAAGGCGCACCCTGCCGCAAAGCCGGGACACGGAAGTCGTTTTGTTAACTGCTGTAGCCCAGCTTACGGAATAACGGTCACCACACAGTGAGCACTCAACAAATAGTTAAAAATAGGCTGGACATGGTGGCTCACGCCTGTAACCCCAGCGCTTTGGAAGGCTGAGATAGGCAGATCACTTGAGGTCAGGAGTTTGAGACCAGCCTGGCAAACATGGAGAAACCCTTTCTCTACTAAAAATACAAAAATTAGCCAGGTGTGGTGGCACGTGTCTGTACTCCCAGCTACTGTGGAGGCTGAGGCAGGAGGATCTCTTGAACCTGGGCAGTTGGCGCTGCAGTGAGCCGTGATTACGCCACTGAAGTCCAGCCTGGGCAACAGAGCAAGATCGTGTCTCAAAAAAAGGAAAAGGCCGGGCGCGGTGGCTCACGCCTGTAATCCCAGCACTTTGGGAGGCCGAGACGGGCGGATCACGAGGTCAGGAGATCAAAACCATCCTGGCTAACACAGTGAAACCCCGTCTCTACTAAAAAATACAAAAAACTAGCCAGGCGAGGTGGTGGGCGCCTGTAG